ACACACCCCACCACTCTTCATATTAAGTTTTAGAAAAATACAAACTCCTCTATAAGTTATCAAGTTACACCTTCTTCCCTGTTTATCTCCTAACGCTCCAGTACATAGTGTTTCAATGCTTTAAAACCCCACCAATTGGCATTCGGAGATAGAAATCAAATAAGAATCACATATTATGCACAAAAAATTTACCAATCTATAAATTAACATTGTCAACAAATCAAGAAATATTAATATTTCACAATTTGACCCATTTGGTCAGGAGACTTGATCAGACTTAAGGGCTACTTACACCGTTGCATGTTTCATACTTCATGAAATATGAAACTTCCCTTTGCAACCTCTTAATCCCATGTGTGTTTACAAATAATTAATTTAATTACTTACTATTTCTCATGCGCAGAACATACTTCCTCCTTTAAGGGTAGTTTGTGGGGTTTAAATAGAAAATGTTTGTGGGGTTTAAATAAAAAATCTATTTTATTTCTTACTTTTTCAGCTTATGGTGTATTTAAGGGTAGTTTGGGAAGATAGTGGGGTTTTCTTAGAAATTGTGAAAATTTAAATTAAAAGTTGGGATGAACTTAGAACATGGGGTGAACTAAGAGAAGTGTGGAGTTTAAATAGAAAATCTCTACCCCAGAAGGGAGTTCGTTCCCCTCCTTTCCAAAAGGTTAAGAAAACAAACAAAACAAACGCAAAGAAAAATAAAACGCAGAGACGGAAGCTAGATATAATTAATTACATACGTACCTTGACAACTTCCAAGAAGATAGGGATTTCCTACAAAGCCGTCTGGGCAGTAACAATAAAGCGTTGAGCGATTGTTGGAATCCGAAGTGTAGATATAGCAGTGGGGTTCAGGGCTATAATTATAATAATTAGAATAATAAGGATCAAAATTCTCTGTAACGTAGCGTCCAAATAATTCTAGTGAAGAAGTAGAGTTGATTATATTCCATTCTAGCACCACAGGAACGTGCCTTCTACTCTTGACTGCGCGAGCAGAAGATGATTTCTCAAACCAATCCTTGTCAACCAGAAACGCATAGTCGTTGCAATTGGGGTCTCGACTTTCGCCTTGGTATAGAATGGAAGCGCCCATCACAGTGAGATAAGGAGGAATGGTAGTCTGGCAGCAGTTGATACCAATATCACAGGAAGCAGACTTTTGATGATCACAAACTGACCTGCAGCCACCAACCACAAACTCTGCTGATTCCATCCCGGCAAGGAAGCCGCAGCTAACTGCAGTGAATCTGTTATATTCCTGAGAGTAGACGAAAGGGCTGTCGGTCAAATTGGCCACTTGGCTACTTCCAGTTCTGTTGCAGAAGAAGGTAACAGGGCTGTTCACCTGAAGCGTGCCTCTAATAGAAATATTCAGCACCTCCAGTTGGGCTCGCTTCAAAAAAGGCTTGTAATGAGGAGCAGAGCTGGTAGTTTTAGAAGACAGGTTGTGGCACTCGATTTCAAACCAGTCGTCTAAGTAGCAATCTTTGTTAGATCCAAGTCCAAAAGGGTATGGGATGAGGACGTGTCCACAATACTCTTGGCAACCATACTTTGCCATCCGAGGAACAAGTGCTGTACATATATTTATCGACAGAAGCAATAAAAATAAGATCATCATATGAACTGCTTGCGATTGCATTGTTCCTAAGCTCGGATAATAAAAAGTAGAAGATTATCAAGCAGAAGTTTTCTTTGGAACTCAGTGCTTGTACTATATATAATAAAGACCCCTTGTCCATCGAAGAAAAGTGGGTTCGACTAGAAGGCTATCCACCAAAAAACAAAAAAAAAAAAAAAGGTTGACTTGACTTAGAGTCACTCACAAAAGGAAATGCAGTACATACTCAGTAAATTATTGTGTCGTATGGATAACAAAAGTAAACAGATCATGGCAGAGAAAATCAGAGCAAAGGATCCGAATCCCTGTATATATATACAGTCTCCTTCTATTTAGGGATCCCTGAAATAATTTTATTTAAGGATGCCCTTTAAGTCAAGTCCACTAACTCCGACAAATTATTCAACTTTAGCATTTCTTTTTCAGAAGAAAAAACAAACACACTGGAGCAAGGAGTTTGAGGTGAACTTTCTTTGCAATGTGTGTGGGAGCTTTATTACACCTAAAATGGACCCCACAAAATGACAAATCATACATTTTATAAACCATTTACCAACTCTTGTACGTGAACCCTTAAATATTCCTTTGCTTTCTCTATTGACCAACTTGTAGAGTATCTCACACCCAAAGGATGGAAAGTTAGCTTAAAAGTTTAAGAGATGTAGGGCCTCTTCACACATTACCAATTAGTTTAGGGTTTAATGCTCATACTCTATGCCCTACATAAAGGATTAGTAGAATTGATTACGGTCAAGTCTGGCTGCGTAGGTTTACTTTTTCCACACAGCTCAATCATAACATAAATCCTAGCCAACAATTGATTCCCTTTAGTCGGACATCCTGGCAAACATCATAATATGCAATATGATTCTGCAAAAGCATTTTTTATCCAGACAAGATAACAGAAATCCCTATGCCCTACATAAAGGATTAGTAGAATTGATTACGGTCAAGTCTGGCTGCGTAGGTTTACTTTTTCCACACAGCTCAATCATAACATAAATCCTAGCCAACAATTGATTCCCTTCATGGCCTATTAACAGGGCCTTGTATTAAAAACTTCAGCAAAAGATGCATAAGATCAAAAGGTAAAGCAAAAGATGCATAAGCAAGCTTCTAAAATTGTCCCGAGGTATAAATGATTCCAAGAAATATCAAAAGGTACAGCTAAAGATGCATAAGCTCTTCCAACTGTCCAAATTACAAGCCCGGTCGATAGGCCATGAAGGGAATCAATTGTTGGCTAGGATTTATGTTATGATTGAGCTGTGTGGAAAAAGTAAACCTACGCAGCCAGACTTGACCGTAATCAATTCTACTAATCCTTTATGTAGGGCATAGGGATTTCTGTTATCTTGTCTGGATAAAAAATGCTTTTGCAGAATCATATTGCATATTATGATGTTTGCCAGGATGTCCAACTAAGAGCATGTCCGCCCCAAAAGGCTAAGGCAAGGCTAAGGCAAGGCAAGGCTAAGGCAAGGCAAGGGCTGGCACTATTGTACTCTGTTTTGATTTTGAAAATGTCCTTTTGACATGTTGAACTAGACTCAATAAGGGTCGTTTAAGAACGGATTTTTTGTAAACTGATGTTGTATATAACTTTGTTGATTATATAAACTCGAATCATGTGCGACCACAAAAAATCAAAGTGTTTATTTTTTATCGCCGATTTCAGTTCTAAGGTTCTAGTTGCACAATCTGTTTTAAAAATTGGGTTTGATTAACTTTTAGGCGTCCAATTCGTGTTGGTATTTGCGTGAGTAAAACTTACACGACATTATCCTGTTGCCTGCATATTGTTTGCCTTTTGTATTATTGGCATGGCATTGTCATCTTTCATATATGAAATAATTGCAAGACTGAAACATACCTATAAGAATCAGTTTGATCTTTGTCTTTCCACCG